GAAACGCCGTAAACTCCTCTCTTATATGTGCGAGTTATTTGTGTATTAAATAAACTGTTTATTACAAACTGCGACAAATTCACCTGAAGATGATCCCAAGGATCACTGAGATTGCTCCGGGTTGCTCAATAGTTGCCATTCATTATGTTTAGCAATCTTGCTTCTTAAAACGTTTTCTATTATTCTGATAATGTGGGACTCGAGTGCTATCAGTTTATTTTTTGCACTTACAATGCTGCCATCTTTGTGAAGTGGGGCTGTATCAGTGGTTTTTAATTACTGGGATGACTCCCGAGTACACATACCATAATATATTTGAAGCATATGAGTTTTTTGTTTTTGACATTTTTTGACGAAGTTCAAAGAGTCTGGGCCTGGAGCAGAGTGCATGGCAGAGTGCATGGCAGAGTGCATGGTAGAGCGCATGGCAGAGTGCATGGCAGAGTGCTTCTTCAAAGTTGACTGTGGCTCGAGTTTAAAAAAAATGGAGAAGTTGGTCGAGTTTGAAGTCTCGTGAAAAATTCTTTTGGCTCTTTTAACAGAGTCATATTATGACTTCAGTATATCTGTCACTTCTTTGTCGTCATCTCCTGTTGTCCGTCTCCTTTATATGTAATTTTTACCCTGGACTTCACATATGAAAGCATTCTGAGTTTATTTTAATTTCGTTAATGGGTTTTTGCTCCCCAAGTCTCTCATGAACTCTGCATGATTTATGAAGTTTTATCTCAATGTTTTTATCTATCTGTCCAGAAATTATTTTCATTAAGTAACAGACCTTTGACAACTTCAGTGATTTTTCGTCTTGCCTGTAGATGGAGCGCCTCTCTTCCTAACTTGAATTTTCTCTTGTTTATGGTGTAAATCTAGATAACATTTCTAGTGACATTAAGCTCATACTTTGGATAAACTAATTTAAATTCAGCTACTCATTATCTTTCCTGCATATTTCAATAAGGCCATAATTTATTTAATAGTTTAAAGCAATTTATCACTACCTCAGTAGTTTGTGTGTAACTCATCATCAGAACTCTCTCCTCCGAGTTTCTCTGCTATTGCAGCATTTGCTATATATCTTCCATTTAGGTTGTCTTAAACTGAAAGTACCAAGGAACAACATGTCTGGGAGCACCTCTGGAAAATTTTCAGGAAAGTATTCAATTTTCAGTAGCTGATCTTGTAACTACTGGGAAGGTGTATCATGTGTTTTCTCTACAAGTACAGTGGGTAGATCCTGATTCTCAAGTATTACTGCCAAAACTTCGACTACATCATGTGTGGTTTGTAACTCAGTGCAAATGAAAGAATAACATAGATCAACCCCCTTCCCCCATTGTTGCTTTTTTTTTCCATTCTCATCTAAAGAGACTGTACCCAGGCATCCATATGTCGCGGTCCAAGTAGTTTTTTTTTTTCTAGTTTTTTTTTTGTAGTTTTATGTGAAAACCGTAAACATTACATCTGACTCGGTGAGTTCACTAATAAATGGTAGTTTGTCGGGAAAATATTTTATGTTGATATTAATATATTTGATAAGACAGCCACTGGCTGTTTCGAATTTAACACGACTCCCAGCTGGTTGCACATTGTAATAATGTCTTGCCATTCTATATCGTTTCCTAGCACACAAAAAAAAAATCTGAGTTCTGATAAACTGTTAATACTATGGTTAACTTGATGTTCACGTGGCTTCTACCTCCTGGTTCCTTCTAAATGGTACGCGGATAAATTTTCTTACAGTTTTTGTCTTATTTATCAATACAACATATTTTGGGGTGAAAATGCCTGTAGGAGATAGAACGACATAAATCTTGATAACAATATTACAGCATTTCTCAGGGTTATCAAATGTACAAGTCCCACTTTGACACTGTCGCTACTGTCTCTGACACGTCAAGATAACTACAGAAAGAACATAACCTGGAAAACAGAAAATACTGACAAAGTCAATCCCTTGTACGGGAAAGCTTTACTGTGAAGATATGATAGTAGCACTAAAATTAGGCTACAGAAAGACGTAGATTAATGTGAATATAATAAAGTGTACACACGTGAAATAAGAACAATGAGATATAAATACGTGCTGAAAATATCTAGGAGAAAATTCGCAACAATGGATTAAAGTTAGATAAAAACGAATTCAGAAAGACTATATAAAAACAAGAGACACAAGCTTATAAATAAGTGAAAGAAACTGCTTTGTAATGTTAGGTTGGATAACGTTAACAAGATGAGCGACAAGAACTGGACGAGAGTAAGACTTGTGATTCATGTTGTGAAACATTCTTCAGATAAATAAATCTAAATTGCTAAATGATGTTCGGTGTAGGTAAAAAAAAATTGTTGTAGGCCTATGAAAAGTGTTTGATGTACCGGCTGTCAATTTCAAGGCTGTTCAGTTGGTAAATGAAATTAAAAACACTATCTGAGAATAATAATACAATTCTAAAACTATGTCAACATGAGTGTACTCAGCTCACATACTGAGTGTCCGCGGTTGGAACCCAGCAAGGGGTTCGTTACCTACCTGGAGGTTATTCCGGGGATCAACGCCCCCGCGGCCCGGTCCACGACCAGGCCTCCCGATGGATCAGGGCCTGATCAACTAGGCTGTTACTGCTGGCCGCACGCAGTCCGACGTACGAGCCACAGCCCGGCTGATCCGGCACTGACTTTAGGTATCTGTCCAGCTCTCTCTTGAAGGCAGCCAGGGGCTTATTGGCAATTCCCCTAATGCTTGATGGGAGGCTGTTGAACAGTTTTGGGCCCCGGACACTTATGGTGTTTTCTCTTAGTGTACCAATGGCGCCCCTACTTTTTATTGGCGGCATTTTGCATCGCCTGCCCAGTCTTTTACTTTCGTAGGGAGTGATTTCTGTGTGCAGATTTGGGACCATTCCTTCCAAGATTTTCCAAGTGTAAATTATGATATATCTCTCCCTCCTGCGTTCCAACGAGTACAAGTCAAGTGCTTTCAAGCGTTCCAAGTAGTTAAGGTGCTTGACAGAACTTATACGTGCAGTAAAGGATCTCTGTACACTCTCTAGATCTGCGATTTCACCTGCTTTGTATGGAGATGTTAATGTACAGCAGTATTCCAGCCTAGAGAGAACAAGTGATTTGAAAAGGATCATCATGGGCTTGGCATCTCTCGTTTTGAAAGTTCTCATTATCCATCCTATCATTTTCTTTGCACGTGCGATCGTGGCACTGTTGTGATCCTTGAAAGTGAGATCCTCAGACATTACTACTCCCAGGTCCCTTACATTATTTTTCCGCTCTATTGTATGGCCGGAGTCAGTAGTATACTCTGTTCTAGTTATTATCTCCTCCAGTTTTCCATAACGGAGTAGTTGGAATTTGTCCTCATTGAACATCATATTGTTTACCGTTGCCCACTGGAAAACTTTGTTTATATCTTCTTGGAGGTTAACCGCGTCCTCAGCAGATGACAGCCTCATGCAGATCCTAGTATCATCCGCAAAGGATGATACGGTGCTGTGGTGTATATCTCTGTTTATGTCTGATATGAGGATAAGGAATAAGATGGGGGCGAGTACTGTGCCTTGTGGAACAGAGCTCTTCACTATGGCAGCCTTCGTTGGGCATGTTTTCTTACATCTGCTGCCCTTGTTCACCTAGCAGTAAGTAGGTACCCTAGGTGTTAGTGGACTGTTGTGGGGCACATCCTGAGGGGAAGGAGGGGGGGGGAAAGCATACCTAAGACAGGGCTGGGCTTAGAAATAAGCTGAGGTTGGATAACAGCTCTTAGCTGTACAAATTATTTGTGTAAAAACAACAAGTGTTATCCTTCATCATCGTCCTGGAAGAACTCACATCACTACATCGTATTAACGATGACTTTAAACTGCAATCAAAACAAAGGGAAGATGTTAATGTTAATCCAAAGCATTAGAAACCTTCGTTATTAAAAGCAATTTAGAAAATTAAACTTGTGTTTCATGGAAAGAAGAAGAGTGAGGATGAGAGAGTTTAAGATTATGTTGGCGGTGGTCTGGAAAATATAAGTATGGAATCTTACACAACTGAATCAAAATGGCGGTCACATTAACAATAGGGGTAAACAGTGGTTAGGAAATAAGAGTTTTAAATAAGAGTGGAACAAGTTACCATGTGGCCACACTGACACAAACACACACTAATGTTTCAAGTTTAGGCTGGGCATAACAAGTATAAATTATTGTAATAATGTTGGTAGAATTACCGACAATATGTAAAGTAAATGGACACAAGTGCAACTAATGTGACATTTTATTGTGGCAACGTTTCGCTCTCCAGGAGCTTTGTCAAGCTCCTTGAGAGCGAAACGTTGCCACAAAAAAATGTCACATTGGTTGCACTTGTGTCCTTTTACTTTACATAAATTATTGTCAAGACGACTTCAATTTTTGCCCACACTGATAAATCAGAATTAGGTGATACCACTGTTACTGTTGCTTTGGCACATTATACAACAGCCACAAGGTGACAAAAAAAAAAAAAAAAAAAAAAAAAAAAAAAAAAAAAAAAAAAAGAGCCTGGTTCTCCGAGCGAAACACTGACTTCATAAAATGTCTATTTTTGCCTGTGTGGCTTTATATTACAAGTTGTTGAGTGAGCCTGGTGGTTAACGCTCTCGCTTCACACGGTGAGGGCCTGGGTTCGATTCCCAGCCAGAGTAGAAACATTGGACGTGTTTCTTTCCACCTGTTGTCTATGTTCCCCATCAGTAAAATGGGTACCTGGGTGTTAGTCGACTGGTGTGGGTCGCATCCTGGGACACTGACCTAAGGAGGCCTGGTCACAGACCGGGCCGCGGGGGCGTTGACCCCCGGAACTCTCTCTAGGTAAACTCTAGGTAAACTTACCACTGTACAAACCAATAGGGAGAGTAACACTGTATAGGAGACCAAGAGGAAGGATAATACTTACCGTTGTAAAAATCAGTAGGAAGAGTAACGAACTTTGTGAAGGAGGCCAACAGGAAGGGTAACACTTACCAGTTGCAGGAGACGCAGAAGAGTAGGGGTGACGGGCAGGTGTCGCGGTGTGCGCAGGCTGCGGACGCGCCGCAGCGGGCCACTGCTACCTGTCACAGCCTCACGTTGGCACCGCAGGCACTTCTCATCATCCTCTTCTTGCCCTTCTTTTTTCTGGAATATACCTTGCAGCACAGGCGGGGTACGAACCTTGGGCCGCGCCCCGGCACCCTGGTAGAGGCTGGCGGCAGAGCTGAGATCTCCTGAGGAGGCGAGGGAGGGGGCGCTGTAGACACTGATACCCTCGTCCACACTGCTGCCACTCCACGCCCCGCCACGCACACTGCCGTACACGGAGGAGGAGGCCACACTTCCAGCTTCGCTGTACACACACACGCCCTCGTCAGTAGTGGTGGTGGAGGTGAGGCGAGACAGACCTGACATGGTGGATGAGGTCGAGTTTCTCTTGCCTCTCCACATGGACGTGGCTTGACTACCATCGCTCGCAGAGTCACCTCCAACGCTGTTTAAGTTGTCTTTGTTGTCGCTTTCGTTCGAATCTGTTTTCGAATGCACAAACGCAATTTTTCGTCTCTCTGCGGTGGTCCTTGAACCGGGACAACGTCTGCATATTGCTCCCGGAGGCAATGTCAGGGTTCTCCTAAAAGGACTCACAGTGTTCCCAACACCAAGGCCGACTTTACCTTGCGAGCTGGACACTACTTTACCATCACAGGGAAGAATACTACTACTACTACTGTCACTATGGTCTTTCTCACTGTCCTTCGTGTTATTAGTCGTACTGAGGCTGCTGGCACATTGCTGGCGTGTCAGGTCTTTAGGAAGACTGCTACTCTTCTTGAGGGAGTCGCGGACAGGCGCTCCCCGACGCCTGAGGGATCCCTCGCGCTTCAAGGAAGCAACAGTGCTACTTAGACAAGTCGGGGGCTTCCGTAGAGCTCCTAGTGGGAGCGTTTGTGAGCGACGGAGAGTGCCAGGCTCTCCAACATCGTCAGCCAGGACCACATCCTTACCTGCCGGTGCCAGCGTCACGGAGGGGCATAGTGGCTCACTATAGGGGTCTAGGGCGTCGTGCTGGGCACTGCTTGCGGGCAGCCTCGAGGGAAGAGTAGAGGGCAGCAGGTGGCGGCGGTAAGCTTGAGGTGAGGAGCGGGAAGACTTGTTGAGGTAGGAGCCTGACGCAGGCATGGTGGCTGAGCGTCTGATGCTGCCCCACCCCCGCCCCAGGTCGACCTTGCTGGCCCCACCCTTACCAGTGCTGGCCCTGCCCCAGGTCGATCCCCAGCGCCGCTGGGGTTTGGGGACCCCACACAGGAGCTCCATCACTACTGATCGCTGCGAGGAGAACTCACCATAATCATGTACTACGACCTTACTGTGTGCACCTACACGTTGTTCCCACAGTGAGCCGCTATATAACAAGCTCACTGTGAGCTGATACACACTAAGCTCACCGTGAGCTGATACACACTAAGCTCACCGTGAGCTGGCGCAACATCTTGTAACTCACTTCTGTCCACTTCTGTCCAAGGTTCACTCATTCTTGTTTCCGTTCTCATATTTTTATTCTCAATAACCTGAAAATCAATGGTAAATTATTTACACAGAATACTACAGTTTTGCAAGCACGAATAAGAGGATTTTAAAACCTAGAGCACCAGACGAGTCTGGCCCATGGCCGGGCTTCGGGAGTAGACTCTCGGAACTCATTAAAGGTATATCAAAGGTACGTTCAGGACTGCGTGTATCATAAGTGTGTGTGTGTCATTTCAAGAGTTCGTCACACACCTTTCATATCTTCAGTTACGTGTCCTACAAATGTACATCACTAAAACACAGCTCAGATCATACACAAAACATGTGTAAACAAAGCCTCCAGCAAACATATACAGAATCGTGTGGATGAAAGGATACTCGGAGGCGTGGGAGGTTTTCCTGGGCGTGGGAGGTTTTCCCAAGGCGTGGGAGGCATTTCCCAAGGCGTGGGAAGTGCTTCCCAGGGCGTGGGCGGTATTTCCTAGGGCGTGGGAAGTCAGTCCTCTCGGGCACTCCTTCCTACTGGGACTGTGGACAGAGGTCACCACACTCTCACACTCACACTCACACACACACACACACACACACACACACCACACACACACACACACACACACAGCCCACTATATCGCCTTCACACGCACATTCAAGCTTCCTCTCACACACTACGTCATCACTGACACAAACAGACCTGCTAGAAAACCTTAATCCCTCGTAACATTGCCGATGACATGAAACTACTGATAAATATGAACCGAGATGCCAACAAGAGAATCCAAAACAACTTTAACAAGTGACAGACGTAGTCAAACGCAAAGAGAATTGAATCCTGATAAATGTAAGGCAATGAGAATGAGAGAGTCAGAACTGGAATTAAATACAGTCTGACATGAATGGTCCTGATGAATTGTACACGAAGATCTTGAAGTCAGCATCACACCAAGAGTATGAGCACAGAGCAACAACATAACACTGGACACCCACAGAGCAATTACATAACACTTGACACCCACAGAGCAACTACATAACAATGGACACCCACAGAGCAACTACATAACACTGGACACCCACAGAGCAACTATATAACACTGGACACCCACAGAGCAACAACATAACACTGGACACCCACAGAGCAATTACATAACACTGGACACCCAGAGAGCAACTACATAACAATGGACACCCAGAGAGCAACTACATAACACTGGACACCCACAGAGCAACTACATAACACTGGACACCCACAGAGCAACAACATAACACTGGACACCCACAGAGCAATTACATAACACTGGACACCCACAGAGCAACTACATAACAATGGACACCCACAGAGCAACTACATAACACTGGACACCGACAGAGCAACTACATACCACTGGACACCCACAGAGCAACTACATAACACTGGACACCCACAGAGCAACTACATAACACTCGACACCCACAGAGCAACTACATAACACTGGACACCCACAGAGCAACAAATTAACACTGGACACCCACAGAGCAACTACATAACACTGGACACCCACAGAGCAACAACATAACACTGGCCACCCACAGAGCAACAACATAACACTGGACACCCACAGAGCAACAACATAACACTGGACACCCACAGAGCAACAACATAACACTGGACACCCACAGAGCAACAACATAACACTGGACACCCACAGAGCAACAACATAACACTGGACACCCACCACTACACTAGAACCAACCAAAGCTGCCTTGGCTCTTGTATTTCTAGTAACAACGATCTGAGACAGTGACATCAGCCTTATTGGCATAGTTCCCACCACGATAATCCCAATAAACAAAGTACTCGTATACAGATATTTACTGAAACAAGATGCACATCCCCTTTCAGTAGCAGTTGTGCCGTCAGTGCAAAGAGCTAAGCGCTCTACCACGCACACTACATGCCAAGTGTTCCACCACGCACACTACATGCCAAGTGTTCCACCACGCACGCTACATGCCAAGTGTTCCACCACGCACGCTACATGCCAAGTGTTCCACCACGCACGCTACATGCCAAGTGTTCCACCACGCACGCTACATGCCAAGTGTTCCACCACGCACGCTACATGCCAAGTGTTCCACCACGCACGCTACATGCCAAGTGTTCCACCACGCACGCTACATGCCAAGTGTTCCACCACGCACGCTACATGCCAAGTGTTCCACCACGCACACTACATGCCAAGTGTTCCACCACGCACGCTACATGCCAAGTGTTCCACCACGCACGCTACATGCCAAGTGTTCCACCACGCACACTACATGCCAAGTGTTCCACCACGCACGCTACATGCCAAGTGTTCCACCACGCACGCTACATGCCAAGTGTTCCACCACGCACACTACATGCCAAGTGTTCCACCACGCACGCTACATGCCAAGTGTTCCACCACGCACACTACATGCCAAGTGTTCCACCACGCACGCTACACGTTTTGAGTCACCTTGCACTCTCAACAACACAAGTGCTTGTTTAATCAACACACTTGATAAGATGGTCCTGAGAAGCCGTTCAGTAATGACACATTCTGTAATATGGTGCTCAGTACACTTCTCCAATCTAAATGATACTCTCAACCATACTTGTACCATAACCTTGCGACTCCCATTATTATTATTATTATTATTATTGTTATTGTTGTTGCTCTACTCTCTAAAGCAGTGGGTGTCACACACTGCCTGAAATAAAAGCACTTTATTTCCACTTCAATACAAGTGCCAGAAGTGTTAGCTACAATGACAACACTGGCACCCTCGTCATAACAGTTTTCTTGGAATTCCCTATTTATAAAAAAGTGCAAAGTACCACTAGCACGAGCCCTCAGTATTCTTTGTAGGAAATGTTTAGATCTAGGTGAGATACCGGAGGCCTTAAAGAGTGCAGACATAGCTATAGCAGAGCACAAGCTAAAAATTACAGATCAATAGCACTAACACCCTTCATCATAAAAGTCTTTGAAAGAGTGATGAGACGTCAGATTATAAATTTTATGGAACAGTATAATATGCACAACCCAAACCAGAACGGATTTAGAACTGGAATTCATGACTGTCGCAGCTGCTGAACGACAATGACAGAATTACGGAGGTTTTGGAAGAAAATCAAAACACAGATGTGATATAAACAGATTTTGCGATGTCATTTAACACATGCGATCATGCGGTGATTGGACACAAAATGAGGGTCATAGGCATAACAAGGAAGGTAGGCAGATGAATTTTCAGGTTTTTAACAAACAGAATGCAAAAATTAGTAAACAGAGTAAAATCCAGCATCAGCGAGGTAAAAAGCTAGGTTTCCCAAGGCACTGTCCTGGCACCTCTGCTGTTTCTTATCCTTATACCAGACATAGATAAAAACACCCGTCACATATTTGTATCATCTGCAGATGGCACTAAAATAAGCATGAAAGTCATTTTCGGAGAGGACACTGAAAAATTACAGGAAGACATAAGCAGGGTTTTCCATTGGGCAGTGGAGAACATGTCCTTCAATGGTGATAAGTTCCAGCTGCTTAGATATGGAAAGAATGAAGAACTCAAAAGGGACACTCTATACAAAACTCAAAAAGATCAAATAAAACGAAAGGAACACATGAAAAACCTAGGAGTGATTATGTCTGCTGACTTTCTTTCAAAGAACACAATTAAGACCAGGGTCACGGCAGCCAGGAAGATGACAATGTTGGAATGTTGATCAGTGTTGACGCTCCGCTCAGGTCAGGAGAAATATCAGAGCTGGAACAGATGCAGAGATCGTTCACGGCCCACATTAAACCAATAAATCATTTAAATTACTGGGAACGCCTTAAATATGTAATCACTGGAGCGGAGATAATAATATATACCTGGAAAGTACTTGAGTTCCTTGTCCCAAATCTGCACACTACCATAACATAGTGGAGTGAGAGATATGGGAGGAAGTGTAAAATAAACCCAGTGAAAAGCAGTGGTGAGGTGTGCACAATGAGGGAACACTGCATCAACATTCGTGGCTTCAGACTATATTCTTAAACATCTTACCAGAAGATATCAGAGACACTGCTGGGACAAGTGTAGAAGTCTTCAAGAGGAAACTGAACAAGTATCTTCACCAGGTAGCGGAAGCACTTGACTTGTACTCACTGGAGCGCAGGCGAGAGAGATGCATCATAATCTACACCTGGAAGACCCTGGAGGGACTGGTCTCTAATCTGCATACAGAAATCACTTCCTACGAAAGCAAAAGACTTGAGTACACTAAAAGAAAACCCAATAAGTGTCCGGGGCCCAAGACTGTTCTACAGCCTCCCACCAGCCATAAGGGGAATTACCAATAGACCCCTGGTTGTCTTCAAGAGGGAGCTGGACAGATACCTAAAGTCAGTGCCGGATAAGCCGGGTTGTAGTTCATACATTGGACTACCAGCGGCCAGCAGTAACAGCCTCGTTGATCAGGCCTTGATCCACCAGGAGGCCTGGTCATGGACCGGGCCGCGGGGGCGTTGATCCCCGGAATACCCTCCAGGTAGACTCCAGGTAGGTGTCAGATCAACAAGACTGTGATGGATATGTGGAGCAGCGGGCCCCCAGCAGCCAGCACCAGCCAAGCCTGGCACATGGCCGGGCTCCGGGAGTAGAAAACCTCTCGGAACTCATCAAAGGTAGTGAATCAATGTAGTGGTAGTGGATGATTGTGGTAATGGATGATTGTTCTGGTAGAGGATGATTGTGATGGTGGTGGATGAGTGTGGGAGTAGTGCATGACTGTAGTAGTGTTGGATGATTGTGGTGGCAGTGGATGATTATGGTGGTAGTGGATGACTGTGGTGCTAGTGGATGATTGTAGTGCTAGTGGATGATTGTGGTGCTAGTGGATGATTGTGGTGCTAGTGGATGATTGTAGTATTCGTAGTGGATCATTGTAGTGGTAGTGGATGTGGTGACAGTGGATGATTGTGGTGACAGTGGATGATTTTGGTGGTAGTGGATGATTGTGGTAGTGGATGATTGTGGTGCTAGTGGATGATTG